AATATCTTTGAATTATTCTACGATATAAAATCGTTTATTTCACACGTTGCAGAAATTTACATTTACACGAGATTATTTTCATCACGCTTCTTTAGATTAATCTTTCGGGAGGAAAGTAACTTTCTTTTTTTGCTTTCATCGAAAAAAAAAAAAAAAATAAAGAAAAAAGATCCATTACCATTCGATCGATCGAAAATATTTACTTTGACATATTATTATAATATTATCATTATTTAAGTTTTTATTATTCGCCATTCTGATCATCATTTTATTACGCGGAAAGATAAGAATAATTTTGTCAATGTTTTTTTTTTTTTTTTAAACAAACTCAATTAATACGGGGATTAAATGTTAAATATGTTATCAATAACTAAAGAAGAACGAACGAAAAAAGCAACATTGAAAAAAAAAAAAAAAACAATAACCCTCCCATAGGAAAATTTGGTATCCGTATAAAATTAGAATTTAGAATTTTTGTAAATCGATTATATATTATAATAAAAAATCATCACGTGATTTTCTTTACGTTTCTAACTCTTCTTTCTCTCTTTAGTAAACTATCCCTTAACGTTAAGTAAGAATCGTATAATTTAAAGAGGGTAATAGTGGTGGAGGTGGTGGTTGGTGAGCTGGCTTGGAAGGGGTGGGGTGGGTGGGGGGGGGAAAGAAGGGTGGAAATTGCATCGTCGCAAGAAGATGATAAACGATCGACGCGTGGAATTCGCTTCGTGGAGACGGCTTCTCTGAGGGTCTGGTCGTGATTAAAGAAAATAAAATAAATTAAATAAAATAAAAAATAAAAAAAAAATAAATAAAACGACGCCACAACAGCAACAAAATAAAGACAGAAAGAAAGTAAAAGAAAAATGACTAACACACTGTGTAAAGTTTTACACAACCATATAGGAGGTCAAGTGAGTTAGTGTCTCTACGTCGACAAGTTACCATCATCCATATACACACACACGTACACTCTCTTATATTTATATATATATGAATAGGTACAACTGAATACAGCTTTGTAAAACGACTGTCATGGCCGCAGCATACATCGTGTGCGTCAGAGAATCATCATGCCTTTCTTTCTATTCTTTATTTTATTTTATTTTATTTCATTTTTTTTCTATTGTTGTTGTTGTTGTTGTTGTTGTTCTTCTTCTTCTTCTTATGTATTTCCTTTAGAACGAGAAGAGTAATCGCGGCATAGCAGTAGACTAACTCTAGTCGAAGAAACATATGTTGTCGTCGTGTTTGTCGTTTCATTGTGTTCTCTCTTTTAACATCTGAAAGTAATCTCGGTACAAAGTTTCTCTTCTGTGTGCTCTTGCATATTATATCTATACTTTTTTTTTCTGTCTTCTTTCTCTCTCTCTCTCTCTTTCTCTCTCTATTTATTTATTTCTGTCTTTCTTCCTTTTGTTCATTTTGTTGTTTTACTTTTTTTTTTTTTTTTTTTTAATTACCTCGATTTTTTAAATTCAATAGAGAATGTATTCCTTCGTTGAACTGTATTTCGGATAATAAAAAAGGATTATTTATTATATATCCAAAATATATGATATAGCCCAGATGATTGAAATAAACTCGAAAATTTAATAAAAAGGATAATTTATTTTTTAACGTAAGCAAACAATTCGGATTTTTTGTTTTGTATTGAAGTAATTTTTATGCTGGAAATAATAAATAATTAATAGGCTTGCGAGGAAAAAAGAAGAACAATTTGTTAGAAAGAAAAAACAAAACAAAAAAATAACAAGAAGTAAAATAATAGATATACGTTGTGTAGAATAGATAAGACGAAAAAATCAAGTATCATCGATAAGTACTTGACCAATACAATTGAAGCGTGCATTTTCTTTTTTTTTCTATCTTTTTGTTTCATCAACGACACCATACCCCACCATCATTATATTATTTTGTTTTTCGTCCAGTCGTGATGTCGCAATCGTGAATAAAATATTGATTAACACTTCAAAACAATCATTTTCATCGTTATATTATATAAACGTATAATAAATATTCTTAGTACGAATAGATCCAATAAATCGAAATATATTTGATGAATAATTCATGAACGAAAAAAAAAAAAAAGAAGGTAGAAGGTGGTACTTTTGAATTTTCGCATAAGTATAATCAAATAACTGTTTCTTATCGTCGTTATTTTATTATCATGCAATCCTTATAAGATTAAATTATATCTTTGTTTTTTTTTGTTTTTTATCGATCTTTCGTTACTCGCATTTTAATATAATACGAGAATAAACAGTTAAAATCAAAAAGGAAGGAAAGAAAAAAAATATTTCAACAAAAGATACGAATAAATTCGAATTGAAGAAACATCTTAACACGTGTGCATACACAAACACACACGTAGTCTTCTTGAAAATCTGAACAATCTCGACGATTAATTTCTTACAAAGGAAACTTGTAATCGTTGAAAAAAGTATATAAGTGTAAAAAGAAAACATAATTCTTCGTAATAATATCTCGAAGCACGTTCTAACATATTCGTCGATCTCAATTCTTTGGCAACGGTTTTTGAATTATACACTGGCTAGACTTCCTCTGGAAACCGTAATTTCCGTCGGGATAAGAAGCACTAGAACTTGTGATAGAAAGAAAGAGAGAGAGAGAGAGAGAGATAGAGAGAGAGAGAGAGAGAGAGAGAGAGAGAGAGAGAGAGAGAGAGAGAGAGAGAGAGTCAGATCGTACGATTAGTTCAGTTAAAGTCACGAACGTAAGACAGAGTTTGCTTGCTTGAAACTCGAACGGTGTTAAATTCGTGCTTTAGTT